TATATTATCTTCATGTATTCAAAATGAATAGCAAGGGTTCAATCCGTAGTGATACCCTGATATTCGAATATTTGAAAAGTGTAATGTACTAAGATGAAATTCAATCGTCACGATATTTCATTTATGCATAAGTTTGTTATTTGCTGTGAATTTGTTTAGTTAATCAAGGATTACACTAAAATAAGGGAGGAATGTTATATATTTTAGTGTAATTGGAAAAACTACGACCAATGGTATCCTAATAATCATCAAAGAAGTTTGGTGGTACGGAGTGCACGCTTCATTGAGTTTGTTACAATATAAAACCCGTTACACCGGGGGTTCCAAGGGGGCAGCGCCCCCTTGGCGGGGGTTCGGGGGCAGCGCCCCCGATCAGGGTTCAAGGGGCGGCAGCCCCTGCGGGGTCCAAGGGGCAGAGCCCCTGGCTGGGGTCGAAGAGTTGCGTGCTTTGGGTAATAGCCGCGAATGGTGTCTTCTCCTTCTCACCCCTAGTCTATAAAATCCCCCTGGGCATGGTCGAATTTCGTTCGGTTTTAGACACAGCAATTCTCATATTTCGTTCTTGATACTTTCGAGTTTTATCCGATTGAATTTTGGAGTGAACAACCAAAATATTCAATCTGAAAGTGTTTACACAACTCTCGACTCATCCAAGTTATCATTAATTTCCCCAACATTTCATTGAAAGAGAAATATTATGAGTTATATATTTCCTTTTAAAAAGAAACGCGAGAAGCCTAAAATTTAATTTAGATTGGATGAAAAAGATACTGAATTTAGTTTGACAATGAATAGAGTAATAAATACTGGCCATATATTTGAATATTTTCATGTCTCTAATTATTTGTCTAGTTTTAGTTTTTAAAATTAAAATTGTTAAAATTTGATTATCAACCCAAAAAATAACTTAAATAGATTTTTTAATAAAATATATTTAAAATAGTTGCTTTATTTAATTAATATAGCATTTGGGTTTGTAGTTAACTTTAGGTCAAATGTTGAAAATAATTAACAATAAAAATAGACAAATACTCTCGGGGAAAGGTAGTAAAAATAAAAATTCATATCACTATCCACCTTTAAACATTCAACTAGCAAACTAGCTAGGTCAACATATGGAAATAAAAAATTAAAATGAGTTTTTAAAATGGTCCTTTCTAATGAGGTGTTTTCCCAAAATAGTTTTTAATAAATACAGTAATAATTACCAACATGTTATTTTGTAATTGGGATGCATTTTTAAAATAGTCACATATAAAAAATGCTTATTAAATGAATACTATATTGTTTCAAAATGAACACTATGTTGAACAGACTTCAGACGATCAAAAATGGACATTCTATTTTTTCAAATTGAATATTTCCCAGGTGAAATTAGCTCTATGTACTCTCTCTAACCAAATATTTTGTAGCCTTTAAGTCTATAGTTATTTTATGAATCTTAAAACATAAAATGGTAATATGTGTTAGGTCTTTTAAAAAGAAGGATATCCAAGTATGAGTTCATGCAAAATATGTAAAAGAAAATCATATTTTACATGTAATCCTTAGAAGTACAATATCACAACTTGTTACTCTAACATGAGAATCAACAAAAAAGTTAACAATTTGAATTGTGAATGTAAAGTTTATTTATGAGTGAGTATAAAAGAAAAATTGTCAGCTTAAAATAATATCAATTATAAACTTTTACCTTTATTTCAGAGTATTCATTCAAGTTGATTTTTTCAAATCAAACTCGACAGACTTTGATTATCAATTAAATGAAAATCGTATTGTATTAGTACACAAATAATTTCATTAGATCTATTTTATAAAAATCTTTCAAAAATTTATTTTATCGTATTAATATATAATGCAAATGTAATTTATTGTAACTGATAATTAAGATCTTGCTCGGGAGCAAAACTTTCAATTAACATTAGCTTTTAGAATAACTTTTTAACGCTATATATTAGCTTTAAAAATGTTAGTTAAACAATCATGTGAAAGAGTTTTTTCTGAAATGTTAAAGTTACACGCTGAAGGTCTTGCCAAACAAATAAACCCTAAAATTCATTCAATTAAACTAAAAAAAGTCAAATTGAACGACAACAAAATATATATTGTAGAATAATTCTAAACATTGGCATACTCTTCTCAAAATAGTCTCGTTGCCTTGTTATAAAGGGTGTTTAGGAATGATTAACTTGTGAATAAAACGATTTTCACAAAAGCTGAAAACAGAAGCACCATATATCCCCTTCTCTAAAATAGTGTTCTATGTACAAAATGATGGTGAAGAAAAGAAGAAGTTACTATGCCAAACAAAATAAAATAATCACCACTTAAAGCAGAAGCTAAATTCTGAAAAACAACGCAATGTCAAACACCCTCATAATTCACAATGGCCTTGTTTGAATGTTGTCTGTCGGCTGATTGTTGTTGGCAGTTCGTGCCAGCTGTTATGAATAACTGTTTAGTTTAGCTGATTTGACCAGCAGGATGAGTTGGCAGATCACTAAAAATGTTTGGTAAAATTAACTGTTTGAAAATAGTTGTTCATACACACACACACACAAAATTACTGCCGGGTATCCTCAGTTTTGTGATAAGAACTCGCAGGTTCCATTATTTTTCTAAATGTACTCCGGGGTACCTTAAAATTTACGAAAAGTTACTCCAGGGTGACAATCCGTCACTCTCTCCGTCAATTCCCATTTACCGTTAACCTTTTCTTCTCCTTCACCGTGTTTCAGCCTTCCTTTTTTTCCTTTTTTTCTCTTTTTCTTCTCCTCCTCCTTCTACACCCTCCAATCCCATCCAGCCTTCCCTTTTTTTTCTTCTTCTATTTTTTTCTTTTCTTCTTCTTGTATTATTATTATTGTTGTTATTATTATTATTATTATTAATATTATTATTATAATTGTTGGTGTTAGATATTATGGAGTATTATTTTATTATTTGTAAGTATTTGTTATTATTATCATTATTTATTTATATATTTATTATTTTATTTAAATAGTAGTTTTACTAAGGCCCCATAAAAAAATTTGTGTGCCTCCATTAACTTTTTTTCAATATTCACTTGCGCTAAAAAAACTTAAAATATTTTAAAGCTTTAATTGAAAATTAGTTTTAGTAATATATTTATGTATAGTTTATAAAATTAAGATTATTTATTCACTTGGTTATAAAGTATACGTCCTAATTCATATTAATAATAATAATATGAAATTAAAACTATTTTTATCATTTCAAATTATCTTTAAAAAAATCTAGAGACACTTGCTCGTCTTATTCCCGTTTCAGGTCCTCTCATTTTCGGAATTCACTACTACCAATGACGGTTGCCGATGGCTACTGCATGACTAATGTGAAAGACAATATCAAATGTCAAAAAAATTTGAGTAGTAAAACTACTAATAATTTTTTATTAATAATAATCATAAGTGTTATTTTAAATAATAAGTACTATTTTTATAAATAATAATTAGTTTTATTTTGTTAAAAATAGAGTAATAAAACTACTAGTTAATTTTTAATAATAATAATAATAATAAATAACAACAATAGAAGAAAAAGAAAATAATAAGAAATAGATAATAATTAATACAAAGTAATAATAAAGTACTTCATAATAAGTGCTACTTTTCTGAATAACAATTATTGTTATTTTTTTTAAAAAAAAGAAGAGTAAAACTAATAATTAGTTTTTAATAATAGTAAATAAAATCAATAATAATGATAGAATAAGAATCGAATGTAATAACTATGAAGTAATAATAATAGTACTGCTATTTTTCTGGAAAATTAGAATAGTAAAACTACTAATTAATTTCTTTATAATAATTATAATAATTGATAACAAATAATAATTATAATAGAAGAAGAAAAAAGAATTCAAAACAAAAAATAGAAGAAGAAATAAAGTAGGCGCTGGATCTGATCCGAAGGCAAGGCAAAGGAGAATGAGGAGAAGAAGAAGAAGAAGAAGAAGAAGAAGAAGTAGTTAACGGCAAATGGGAATGGACAGAGAGAGTGACAGATTGTCACCCCGGAATAACTTTTCAGAAATTTTAAGGTACTCGGAGTACATTTTGAAAAATAATGAGACCTGCGAGTTCTTAACACAAAACCGAGGATACCCAGCAGCAATTTTGTGTGTGTGTGTGTGTGTAAACACGATATTTATTTTTCATTTTTTACATGTAAAAATTAAATCTGTACTATATGGAGTATTAAATTTTATTTTCATTTAATTTATAAGAAATTATTTATATAGAACTTTTTAATGATTTTTAATTTTTATTTTCTCATCTCATTTTTTTGAAAATTTTAATTTTTAATTTTAATTTTATTTTAGTTTTGATTTTTTTAACTTTTATTTTTATTTTTTACATATATTATAGAATAACTTCCAAGAAAAATGATTTTAAAAAAACAATTTTCCTAACAGCCAAGTCGAAATGCTACTCCCTTCGGGTTTTCAGATTTTGTTTTTTCCGATCAAAATGCCAAGTGAAAAAGTCATTAGCTAAACAATGATTTTGACTGTTCACTTAGTCAAAAAAGTCAAAATCAGTTAAAGATGCCAAAAGCTATCCGAAAAGCTAATTTTCAAACACGGCCAATGCAACTTAATTGGCATACTCTTCTCAAACTTCTAATTTAAAAAAAATGAATTAATTCCAACAAAATAATAATAATAATAATAATAATAATAATAATAATTTGCATAGCAAGTAGCCGGAGAACTATATTTTAACTCAGAAATGGAATATTAAAAAACATAGGAGCAAACCATTTAATGCCACTGATGATTGGGGAGTTGTCCTGGAAACATACCATGCACCTTCCACCCTTTTTATATAATAAATACCCTTATCGTTTCCTCTCCCTCTGTGGGATATATATATATATATATATATATATATATATATATATATATATATATATATATATATATAAAATGTGTGTATACACATATAAACACATACATATATAGTGAATAATAATAATAATAATCTGGGCTGGGTGGGACAAAAGATGGTGGGTGTATTTTCCAGATTTTCTGCCATTAATAAAGCAGCTGCCCATAGAAGAAGCACAAGTGCCATTGTAAGCATTAGTACTTTTTTCTTGGATCCCATTATTTCTCTTAAGTCCAAGTTTTGCTTCATGTTGTGAAAACAATACATATTTGAATGCTGCAGGAAGAAAAGACTGCATTGCCCCCAAGCCTGCCAGAGGCGGCGGCGGCAGGAGCTGACGTGGCTGCCACCACCCGCGACATGGATGAGTTCAAGCCGGTTCAGCATCCCAATGAGCCTCTCGACGACGACCACCCGGTTCAGTGCCCTTTCCCAGAACCATCATCATCAGCCTTCAATGTAAGTTTTTTTTTGGCAATTTTGATTCTCAGAATCACAAGTTTCAGAATTAGTTTACTATTATTATGAAAGAATCCAACAGTTATTGCTTCTGAAAACTAAGCAGAAGCAGCAAGTGATTTCTTTTCAGAATCTAACACGAATGCAAGATTCTGAGATGATAATTGACAGATTATCTTTTCTCTATTTCCCGAATTGGGAAACAGGGAAAAAATATTGTTACTGGATCACAGGATGGAAGAAAATGGAAGGAGAAAGAGGAAGCCGTCGTGGAGCCAGAGACGAGTGCAACGAAACCAAAACCACGGATTCTGCCGTCTATAAGTGCAGCAGAACAGAATGTCCTAAGTTTGCTTGATGAATCTGTTCCAGTTCTTGAGCTTTGAGAATTCAACCAACTTTTGTTTTCTATATTGTTTTTTTAAAAAAAGTGTATAGTTTAGTTTTAAAGTTTTAAAATAAGGTTGGTCCAACCCCTATAAAATAAGGATAGCTGTCTAAACTTTGACACCTCAGCTGTTGGAATATAATACTACTAATACATAAAATATTACCATGTGATCCAACTATTAGTTTAATGTGAATCAAACTGGCTTTTATGGAATGAATGGTTGAGTTAAATCAAATCAAAAGCTGGTTCTGATCTATGTCAACATTTGTTTAATCCCAAGGACTTAGGTGTTTGGTAAATATAAGGGTGTGTTTGGTTCGACGAAACACCTAAACTTTCAGTTAGAGTGCGTCGCTTGGAGTAAGCTTTTAGTTGAGATAGATCGCAACCATTAACCCGATTTAACTAAACCCTTCAACCACAATCACAATTTTTATTAGACACAACATTACATCACAAGAGCTACAATGCCTTGCTAAGGTCACACTATAGATCCTTGGCAAGACATCTATAGCCCTATACAATTATTCTTTTCTAAAGAAACACATGCACAATGTTGGGTTTAAAACAAAGAACTTTGAATCATTTCTATTTTCATCTTCACTATTGCGCGATAATAAATGGAATAGAGCTAACCTCCGTTGTGCTGTAGAATGAATCCTCGACTCCACCACCCCCATAAGCATTCCCTCCCTTCTCCTCATCCCACTTCAAAACCTCCCTTATATACTTGAACACCTCGTCGACCGTCACTCTCTCTCTTGCTTGAGATTGCCACACAAACAACTTCCTCCCTCCCGTGAGGGAAGAGTACACGTCTTTGAACTTCATCGCAATGTAGTAGTAGGCTTGGGTTGCGAGCGTTTGGTTGTTATGATGAGTGTACGCGGTGCTGAAATCCGAGAACCAAATGCAGTTACTCAACCCCACCTTCTTGACCTTCTCCTCGAAGAGATCGTACTTGTTGAGGACCAAGACGAAGGGAGTGTCTTTGAAAGCAGGGTGCTTTATCATCATTTCAAACAGTTCTTTGCTTTGGATCATCTTGTTATGGAGTGGGATCCCGCCGGCTTTGTTCGGCGGGGCCCACCACACTTGATCGTAGTCACTCAGCGCAACGCAAAAGACTACTGCGTCTACTTCTTCAAACATCTCTAACCACTTGCACCCTTCGTTCATTCCGTCCCCGTTTACCCTTATGAGTTGGTACCTTGTGGGAGGGCCTTCAAGATTGTTGTCGGCTGCGTAGGAGAGGTCAGACATTGGGCTGTGATCATTCAATGAGAACTCCATTAAAGATAGGCCGTTCCCTTGGGTGACCCCTTCTGCAAGGAGTATGTCTTGCTCTGATGGCTCATACTCTATGCTTGATACCTCAACCGCCTTTAAGTTCATACAAGAGAGGAGAAAAGTTAATGTCATATGTTTTTAACTGACCATTATCACTTTCTCGATACATTAAAAACATAAACGAATATAGACATGATGTATGTCCATCTACATGGGACTTCTGATGTATCACAATGGTTAGTTAGAAGTGAATAGAGGGGAGTATTAAACAAAACCTTCCTTGCTAAGGGAAGTAAGAAGCTGAGAACAAACCTTATTTAAGAAGTAACCTGCTACGTCCGGAAGGAAGTGAAGTTCGTCTTTTCTCTTGTATGTTTCCTGTACAGCAGGATCCTTCCACACCTCTTCAACTAGAGGAGCATATTCGCGGGTCGCTGCCGGGAAAAATGCATCTAAATCTCCGGTGGCTATGATATCTAACAGCCAATCAGAGAAGTGTTTCAACCTTGGGTTTAGCGAATACAAACACTGATTACCTCCACTGGGGTCCACTTCACCGCCTAAATCACATGTTGTCATCAATTAATTATCAGAGCTCACGAATATAAATATGTGAACTCCACATAACAATTTGAGTACAAATTGATACTAAGAGTAGTTGAAAGAAAGAACCTTCTTCCATTAGATTTGACAAGGCCTCCTCCTCAAATCGCTCCCGCCCATCGAGTAGAATGCTTAGATACTTGTAGATGTTTCTTTGAATCATGAGCTTAATGTCTTGTAGTTCCTCTACAGTGAAATTGTTCCCATACAAAACTTTGGCCTGATAAGTTAGTAGATACAATAGTAAACAACTGGGAATACTCTAAAATCGGTTATATCTAGTGGGAATATAGAGAAATGGAGAAAGACTAAGATGGTGAATGTAAAGTTAAAAGACATCTTGGGGTTTATTTGGATGGAGGGAACTGAACGTTGCTGAAAATGATAAAGTCCATATCTTGATAAACCCCGAGTAGAACATTTCTAAAAATGGATAAAAAATGCTTTCAGTTTTTATAAAATCTCAAATATTTATCAAAAATAAAGATTAAGCCCTCCACAAATCTTCATCCAAACAGATCTTTAGGATCTTAAAAGCTGAAACATTGTTCTAGCAAGCATATTACTTGCAAATTTTGATTAAAAAGACCTGTTTGAAAATAGTGCTAGTTCCAGATCCTTGCTGCCCAAGAAGAAGCAGCTTCTGAACTCTTCTTCGTTCCACAAAATTAGGGGCAGAGATGTAAGTGCTTGGTTCATCCCTTTGGACACGTGGTTGAGCATGGGGTACAGGCAAGGAAAACAAGGAGCAGAAGAGGCGTGCCGAAGTCTACATGATGGAAACAATTGTGCTTTAGATTATTTTTGCATATAAACAAAAAGTTGAACTCCATAACTAGTAGTCTAGTTACATACTTTTTGCCATATATTTCCTCGGATATTATTTTGTCCTTCCTCCTCATAGCGGCCATCATCATATACCCAAAAGTGAGTGTCGCGAGGACATTGAACATTTGCAAGCTGAGGCAATGAACAAAGGTCCAAGATTAGTTACTTTTTTGTGTATTATTTATTCTTGTTTTGATTAATTAAGCAAGAAAACATATAGAGTAAGCCCGGAAACATTCATATCAGACCACTCCAGATGACTAGAACCTAGTAACAACGAAGTAGGCTCCAAAATTTTTGGTCCAACCCAATAACTTCAAGTGGGTTGGGTGCCTAAAATCATCAGAGCGCCACCAGAACCTAGTGAACTTCAAATTATGGGATAGAAATAAAATCACCTTCAATACTTTGAGTTCAACTTTTGTAATTTCTCTGCCATTAATGAACACCTGTGTGTTTCCATTGCTTGCATGAGGACTAAGCTTTCCTGTAAAATTCATGTTTGAACTCACTAGTCTGTTGGGTTTCTTTCCCTCCTGATCAACAGAGAAGACAAAACTAAATCACTATTTCCTCCTCAACGGTTATTAAGAAAAGAAAAAAAACAATTGTGAGATTGTATGATGCTACCTTTCCCCAAAGGCCAGATTCTTTGTCATACCAATACCTGCCAGGCTTCAACTTCTTAGGAGGTAAAGGGCAACCAAACAGTTCTTCCATCTCTTCTGGTTTCAAAGGAAATCCGTTCACAATCACCTGCTCCGGCCTAAGTTGATTAGCCAAGCACTCTTTCTCCCCTTTCATTATTTGCTTAACTTCCAAAGGACTAAGCAAACTCGACAGCACCCTTGAATGCTTTCCCAGTTTGGACCGGTTCGACTCATCAATAGCTTCACCAATGCAAGTCACACATTTTCGTCCCTCTGGCATGGACCCCATAGCTCTAAGCACACAATTGCAGCAATACCTCGCATCACAAACCAAACACGACTCTTTAGCTCCCCACTTTCCTTTCCCACACCTATAACAACCTCTCGATCTCTTATTTTTCATCTTCTTCTTTTCTTCCTTTGATACCCCGACACATTCGGGGAAAACTTGCCTCTCCAAATCCAATGCTTTCCTGTGTGAGCTGTCAACCGTGTTGAAAGTCAGCACTCGTGATCGCCTCCTTCCCTCGTGTGGGGAAGGGTAAGGGGAAGCTGAGGGCGAGCAAGAAGAAGATTCAACATTCTGCAGGCCAGACACCTGTGACTCTGAACTGTGGGACATCCTCGGAGGAATCGTATAAATGGGATCTGCCCTATGAAGGCCATTTGACACCGGAGAACTGTTAAGATCCAGAGGTAATGAGTAACCCAGACTAGGGACGTCTTCTGTGAGAGGATCCCTCCTGTCCCCGCCCTTGTTTTTCTCCATCTTCCCTCAACAGACCTTGTGAATTCTAAGTGCTGCTAGAGTGCTAGTTTGTCATCAAATTATACCAAAAGAATAAACAAATTAATACCAAAATTGAGACCCTTATCAATCAAACAACTGAACAAATGTGTAGCTGCATAAATCTACAAAACCCCATGTTTGAACTCAGAAGAATTCCAAACAAGCCAATTTTGCAACAAAGAAAAGTCACAATCTTGGAAAACGAATCACACTGATGCAAACTTCCCAAAAGCCTCCAATCTTGAAAGAGCCCATCACAATTAGTTTTCTACCAAACGTCAGAGTCAAAGGGCCGCCATCTTAGTTTGAAAAGTTATTATTTAATTCAACATTGAGAATCAACAAACTGGAAGTTTTGGGTTCAACCCAAGCCAAACAAATCCTAAACCTTCAACAATTACAGACAGGTTCAACCCAACACATCAGAGTAGTAGAGAACCGGAGATTTCTAGAAGTTCAAAAAATTTTAAGATTTAAACAATTAGAGTACATGATACGGAGTAATAAAGATTAAACAAAAAAGAGGCTGAAGCAGCGGAACCATGAGAGAGAAACAAGGTAAGAGCAAGAACCCACCACGAGGGCAAATGGGGTAAAAACATTTTAGCCTTTTGAAAAGGTCCAGAGCTCAGAAAGGCTGAAAGGGTTGGTAAAAATTGAGTCTTTTTTTTGGAGTATACACTTTTGGAGAAGGAACAAAAGAGCAAAATAGAAAGCTAAAAGATGCCGAGTATAAAAGAGAAGAAGAAGAAGTAAAGCACCCACCACTTCCACTTTTGGAATAATAATGTTCCAAATCGCTAGAGATAGGGAGAGAGATGATTGCTGAACAGTTAGAGCACGGGAGAGGGAGAGGGAGAGGGGGAGAAAGGGGGCGAAGAAGTGGGTCCCACGCGAGTGCACGGCTGTGTGTCTGTGCGCATGGAAATGTGTTGAAGACGAGGAAGGGTGAATGAGCTTCGTGGATGGGAGACCGCTGAGACACCCTATTGAATTTGTCACTAGACCTTAAATCTCATTTTTCAAAGGTATGGCCGTATGGGACTTTAATGGTGGTGACAGGAACTAAATGATTTGGGTGACCCATATTCCCGATAACAATTTAAACGTTTAGTTATAACATTTTGAAAAAAAAAGAAGGATTACGAATACCATTCATCTGTTCCTTGTTAACTCTTTATCTGATCAATTCAGATAAGAGGTCTTAACCATTCAGACTCTGTATAATATTTAATTATTCAGAGACAAAGTTCTTAACCATTCAGACATCTGAACCATTAAGAAGCTGAAACAAACAGCCCTTAAAAGTATCATTCTCCAAAATTATCATCTTTATTTAAATGTTCAAGCATAAAATGTGCAGTTTCCGATGAGTTCATGGGTATTTGATGCATGTTTTAATGTTTAGAGTTACACCGTGCATTTTTTTAAAAATTCAAAGGTATTCAGTATACTTTTTAATGTTCAGGGGTAAGCCGTGAAATTTATGAAGAATTTAGAGGTAAATGGTGCACTTTTCTCAGTTATTTACACATGGATTCTAAAAATGTAGCCACAAGGATCTGGGGCAAAGACGACGATACAAATTGTTGTTTATCCCTAAGAGAACTGTCAAAGAATCGATTCAACCAAAAGCTCAAACTTCTGGTTGTGGCCCAAAAAAGATTATTTATATTCTAACATTCCCCCTCACGTACAAGCGTATTCTTTTTTGAACCTTGCACGTGAAACTTTAATTTTTTTAAACTGGGTGGCACTGAGTTTTGAACTTGTAACCTCTTAGTCAACAAGGCTCCGATATCATGTCAAAGAGTCAATTCAACAAAAAGCTCAAGCTTATGGTTGTGGCCCAACAAAGGTTATTTGTATTCTAACAAGAACTCATCTCCAATACCAAAGGAAATGTGAGACACATCTTGCAAAACACAATAGGCAAAATTGACAAGAATACTCCTAGAAATTACAGATTTTACATAAATACTTCCAAATTTGTTTATTTACATCATTACTCCCACATTTCTCTTTTATTTACGTTGTTACTCCCAAATTTGGTAGTGATCATTAGTGTTACTTGGATGTGTCATTTTTGCGTTAAGTGAACAGTTAAAATGCAAACATGTATTTTTTCCACTCTAATATACCAAATTCACCTCAACTTATTCTCTCCATCGTTTTTCTCACGTCTTAGTAAGCCTAATTATTTCCCTTATTTCCCATCACTTTTAAAAAAAATTGAGATTTCAAACTTTTTAAATCTTTTTAATGTTTAATATCAAGTCTGTTCATATTAATTTAATTTGAATTCAATAAAAAAAGATGAAGAACCCCGTATAAAAAGAGGCACCCGAAAAACACTGATGATGAAGCAATCGCGGAATAACGACGTAAATAAAAGAGAAATGTGGGAGTAATGGTGTAAATAAACAAATTTGGGAGTATTTATGTAAAATCTCTAATTTCTGGGAGTGTTCTTGTGAATTTTGCCAACACCAGTTGCTTGCAAAAAATGCTATTTACCTTAACAATTTTTCTTCTCTTGAATACTTTGTTGACATCTCGAAGATTGCCCAAGGAGTGATCCGAGGTGATGTTACAAGTATCTTTATTTGTTTTAAATTATATACCATTGTGTGTGTGTATATATATAGGATTGACTCCAGTCAGATGACACCTTACGGTGAGATAAACATGTTACGGTCAGATGACGCAAAGCTCGCCACTGGCCACTGCAAAGCTTACCAAGGACAACTACAAAGCTCACCATATTCTTTAAACACTTTAATTTTTTTTTGAAAAAAAAATCAAAGGAAGGGGTGCTGACTAGACTTTGAGCATTGACCGTTGACCATCACCAGCGACCCCCTGCCGCCGCCGGCTGCCGCCGGCCGCCGCAGACCTCCGTCGCCGACCCCCACCAATCGCCGCCGACCACCACCGCCGCCGCCTCCGACCACCACCGCCACCGGTCTCCGCCGCGCCGCCACCGCTGACCGGTGGTTGACCGGTGTTGCTATTTTATTTTTTATTAAATTTTAAATTTTCAAAATTAAAAAAAGGTGAGTTTTGGTGTTCAAATTGGTGAGCTTTGCTTTATTTCTAGGTGTGCTTTACATTGGCCATTGGTGAGCTTTGCAGTGTAATGTGGTGAGCTTTGCGTCATCTCACCGAAGCATGTCATCTCACCATAAGGTGTCATCTCACTGGAGTCAATCCTATATATATATATATATATATATATATATATATATATATATATATATATATATATATATATATATATATATATATATATATATATATATATATATATATATATATATATATATATATATATATATATAGGATTGACTCCAGTGACATGACACCTTACGGTGAGATGACATGCAGGGGCGGAGGAGAGGGGGGCTACCGGGGCACGTGCCCCCGGCGAGCTTCCAGCGAAGAGGCGGTGACCATCGGTTGGGATTCACCAACGATGAATGTGCCCCCGACACTTCGATGAAGATGACGAGATGTAGATGGAAAGCAACTATTTGAATGTTTCAAGCTTTATCTTTTTTTAAAGTTCAACAACTTTAGTTAAAACCGACACTCAATACGACACCGTTTAGTTAATAGGTTAATACTTAAATATAAAAAAACCCAAATAGCAGCCCTTGTTCTTCAGCTCTAAGCCAACTCGACCCAACAATCTTCTTCGCAAAATCGCAGTGACCAAATATGATTTTAATTTTCAATCAATTGAAATCCTCTTCTGCGCTACATTTTTTTATTGAATGTTTTTAATGTTTTTTTAATTTCTGATTTGCTTGTTATTTTGTGAGATAGGTTATTATTTATGCTTTGGTCTTGATTACAATTTTTATTCTATTTCGTTTAGTTTTGTTCATTTTTATTAACTATTTGATAAAATAATTATTTTTCTTATCTATTTGAGAAAAATTTGGGGCAAAGGTCATATTTTGTCATTTTAGATAGTAAACGGAGTATTTGTTTACCATTTTAGAACAACGACAGTTATGTTTATAAGATGTTTTTTTTTTTTACACCGTATTTTTTATTTAAGTTGTACTCTTGATTTATAAAATTCTTCCGCTCGATTTTTTGCACATCCATAAAATACTTTTACTCTACCTAAAATGTCTAAAATATCTCAAAAAACTTCTACCTGGTATAAACTACGTGATGAGATGTATTTTAGACATCTTAAGTGAGAATAAAAGTGTTTTATGAAATTCATAGAAAATTAGGGATCAGAAAAAGAGTTTAACAAAGGGAATATTTGTGATATACGAGTAGTAAATTTGTGCCCTACCGCAAAGTTGCTCCTGGCTCCGCCACTGATGACATGCTTCGGTAAGATGACACAAAGCTCACCAGACTACACTAGAAAGCTCACCAATGGACAATGCAAAGCTCACCTGGAAATAAAGTAAAGCTCACCACTTTGAACACTAAAACTCACTTTTTTTTTTAAATTTTGAAAATTAAAAAATTAATTAAAAATAAAATATAATAGCAACACCGGCCAACCACGGGTCAACGGCGGCGGCCAGAGGCGGAGCATCAGCGGCGACCAGAGTCCGGCGGCGGCGATGACCGGAGGCCAGAGGTGGCGGCGGCGGGCGGCGGTGGCGACCGGAGGTGGCTGCCGGAGTCCGGCAATGGCGGTAGGCGGTGGTCAATGCTGAGGGTCAACAGTCAAAGTCCAGTCAGCACCCCTTCCTTTGATTTTATTTTTTCAAAAAAAATCAAAGTGTTGAAAAAATATGGTGAGCTTTGCCTAACAGTTTTGTGAGCTTTGTAATTGTCTTTGGTGAGCTTTGCAGTGGCCAGTGGTGAACTTTGCGTCATCTGACCGAAGCATGTTATCTCACCGTAAGGTGTCATCTCACTGGAGTCAATCCCATATATATATATATATATATATATATATATATATATATATATATATATATATATAGACACACACATACTCTCTCCATCTCCAAAAAGTTGCCACCGTTTGAATTTTTTGGTTAAACTGTAGAACCCTTTAACTGCGAATTATAATGGAAAAATCAAAGTATATTTAGTGATAATGTAAATTTAATATAATTATAATTATTTTAAAATTTGTGAAATACCAAATTCTTATAATATTTAATTTTTTAAACTATATTTATTCATGGTCAAAAAGTGCCACAGTTTAACCAAAAAATTAAAGTATGTCAATTTTTTAGAGACGGAGGGAGTATATATATAAAGGAACAAAAACAACAAACTAGAGAAGTGAGGTTTTGATGAACTCTATAAAAGAAGTGCATATATATAAGAAATCCATAAGAAATATTTGCACTAAATAGCACTAAAACTTAAGTCATCTATCTAAATAGCACTTAGATTATTTTTTTCCTAAATAGCACTTTATAATGTCCATAATGACTAGTGATGACAAATATTTACTTGAATAATGACTAATGGATAATGACTAAAAGTGCTACATTGAGGAAAAAACATATGTAGTGCTATTTAGAAAAAGTCATTATGTTTTAGTGGTATTTAGGTAAATTTATCATATACTCCGTATATAATGTTGTTGTGGCATGTGATGAGCGCACCATGCATGTGCCTCAATGAAAACAAAAAATAAAATAAAAAAAGGCTCGCTCCTTTATATATGCATGAGATTCTTTATGCCCATAATGTAAATTATGTAAATATGAGATAGATATGCATGCCATAACAATTGTAAATGAGAATTTAACCATATAGTACTAAAATATAGTCAGTTTTTCGAATATAATATTATGCGTTTTAACTTCGTACCACTATTATATTCAATGTCCACTGCACATTGTTTAAATAAATATTTACCGCCACTGGACAATGGACATTGTACAAAATAAATGTCCACTATCACTAGACATTCTTCATCAAGTACCATTTAGAGAATAAAAGTTTTAGGTACTACATTAGCAATAGCAAAAGGCATTTGTTTTAGTACTGTTTAGTGGAAATTTCCCCATTGTAAATTACTTAGTCCATTAGAAGGGAGTATGAATTCTTTTACTCAAGCTAGCTAGCCCTAGCCCAAATAAATGCCTACATTTTGGAAGTGATGATGAGTTTCTTGAGCTCCCTTCTGAGGATCTTTCCTGCTGCGGACCTGGGTATTGATGTTGTGAAATACACTCGCCTCACCTTTTTGTATGGTGCAATCTATCACACAAAGAAATTAAATTAAAAGCAAATCTTTAATAATATATGGTTTAATAATGTAACAAAAAAAACACACTAGCTAATGACCTGCTTAGCTACAAAATCAATTAGAGCCGCCTGAGATAGTGCGCATCGTCCCTTTCTTTTGACCACAAATGCCACAGGAATCTCTCCAACTTCATCATTTGTCTCTCTATACGTGTGTATAGAATGTAATTAAGGTATAAACAAGATGAAAAAGTCATGATGGTTGTTTAATTAAAGATAACTTGTCTTAAACCTCATTTCATTAATGTAATTATTAACAAAGAGAGAGTAGATTTGCCATGCAGAATTAGAGATGAAACGTACGATGTTACTGCAACATCAGTAATATCGGGATGTGACATTATCACTGCTTCTAAATCAACAGGAGAAATCTGCATAAGATATATGCAAATACTTTCCATAATTATTTAGGGAACCCAGCATTAGAAATTTTCAAGAATCTAAAACTAGAACATGAATGCATGAATATGGTATCCGAGACCAAAAAGTTATTTATTAATTCTACACCAAGCTTTATATAAATTGATCAAACTTAAATCTCGTCTCTAGGGAAGAATGATTTATACTCCACTATATATACATTGGAGTCTAGATAGATGTTAAATAGTTGCATCTACTAAAATAAAGTTTTTATTTGTCAAATTAGTGCTTACTTTTTTGGGGAGAGCATAATCATTTTTCTGATTCCCTTTGTCCCAATATATATATATTGTCTGTTTTGGTTTACGATGATTGACTGAAACTATGTTTTGTTTAATTTATTTGAAGATTGTAGTGAAATTAAAAAAATAAAAATGACATATTTTAAAATTAAATCAAAAGATCTTTGAAATAGAATGTGACATAACTATGTTATTTTATCAAATTAAATAAATAACGGAAATAATAAATAAAATTTGACCCTAAGCACTATAGTTTGGTATGGAGGAGTAATTTTTTTAAAATTTTCTTCCCATTTTGAATCCGCGATTATGAATTTGCGTTTTACACGTATTGATAATTTATATTGTGTGCGTATATCTCATTTTCGTTACTATTCCCATATATATATGAGTCATTTTAGTACATAAAAAGTAATTCAATTAAAATTTGCAAAAAATAACTTTTAAATCACAACAATTTTACATCTTGATGGTGTAAATTACCACGCAAATACTAAGTATAAGTAATTGAAAGGGTTGTAGGTGGAAACACCTGTAACCCGGTTTGTTATTAATGATAATCGGAGCTATTACAAAGTACAAGCCGTGAATGTTAATTAAAGCATGTCTCACAAATGAGGCTTTTAAGGGTATTTATAATAATCCTAAGCACGTCAAGCACGTCAAAATTTATCCGGCCGGTCAGTTGACTGACCGGCTCTCTAGGCTTAGTTTGATAGCAGAATCTGCATCTTCTCCCGACCAGTCGGACAGCCCGGGTCGGACAAGTTAGGTGGCGTCACATTTGGTACCTCCTAGTCGGTCAGACCTACCGGGCGGTACCCATGGGTTATTACCCATCAAGGAGTCCTCCAATTCCCAGTCTTGTGGGATCCATCAGGGGCGGGAAGCATATGCGACCGTCTTTTCAAATTAGAACTGCCCAAATGATTTTTGGCGGGAAAATGGTCTCAGCAAACCAGCGCCAACTCAAGAATATTTGAATTTTGAATTTTTGAAAACCGGGTACCGAAGGCGGGAGAATCTTTATTGAGATCCGGTACGAAGTCGCCGATTTGTTATGCCGTTTCGTCTCCCCGAGAGGTTATAATGACAAATCATTTCGACTGCCATGTGTCGCCTCGCCATTCGTTCGGCTGGGCGGCACCTACCCTATATAAAGCAAGGTTCCCCCTTGAATTTTCTCACTTGCAAATCACCAACTAAAAAACTGCCCGGTCGCTTCAACTATTTCCGAGTCCTCTGAGTCTTCTAGTCGCTTCCAAGTAAGTCTCTTTCCTTCCCCCTTTCTGAGTCATGTCTGACCGCGAAGAGAGCCAGAACCCTTCCGTTCATTCTTACGGTTCTGGCAACCGGTCTCAGACCTCCGGTTCTTCTTCTCCTTCCTCTTCATCTTCTGAGCGCCCGGCTGCTCCTCCACAGAGGCAGCCGGTTGATGCCCCCACTTGTGCCCCTTCTTCTTCTGCGGCACAAGTGATCTCGATTGCCCAGCCTGGGGATGAGGGCTTCATTCTACTGGATGACCGGTTGCTCCAACAGCAACTGTCGCACATGCAGAAGGCTCAAGTCCATGAGCTGCGTAATCTAATGCCGGATGGGTACCAATTGACCTACCGGGCGTCGTGGAAGAATATTATTTCTCTCCATTCCGGTACAACGATTGGTATCCACTACCACTCCATCAAAGACTTGGGTGAATTCTCTGTCCACCCGTTCAAAGTCCTCTTCCTTGAGACATACGAAATCATGCCCGGGCAGATAGCCCCAAATGGTCACTGTATGCTCAATAGCTTCATTAATGTTTGCCGGTTCCTTCGTATCCCTCTCTCCCTCCATCTCCTTGATCATATGTTCGATGTTCGGCCCGGGTCCAAGGAAACCCTTGGATTCGTGGTTGTGTCCTCCCATCAGGGCCGGACATTTCTCTGTGGCCTTCCTCCTTCTAACAAGAAGTGGAAGGACAAATACGTGTCTATCAAATTCCCCCCGGCTGCTTTCCCTTTCGTCCAAAATGTCTGGGGGAAGAGAATGAAGCGCCAAGTCAAACCCTAGGAGGCCGATGACCTGGTTGCTTGGGAGGCCACTCTTCGGGCCGGGGACGCCTCCACCCGCGGTCTACCCTGGTCGGGAGACTGACCCCGAGCCAGAGATCGTTCTGCCCAGCCCCTCAGCTAACCCTCCAGTCAGCCGCTCTCGTTGGATGATCAACCTGCACAGTCCCATCAGGGGACCAGCCAACCGATCCACTCTGGGGAACTCTACATAAATGTAGATACCCTGGAGTTTGATAACATGCTGGCGGAAACCAGCCATACCTTAGAGGCCGGTCAGGGTGGCCAACAGAACGAGGAAGGCCACAGCGAAGAGGAGGCTGCTGAAGAGTCTCTTGAAAGGAAAAGACGGAGGGCTGAGGTTGTTGACCAGCCGGCCCAACACACGGCCCAGTCCTCTGATGCCGGCGAAGCGCGCGGCGAGCCCCGGCCATTCACCCTGATGGTCCGGTCAGATAAAGAGCTCTTCCAAGCCTTTCAATCTGATCTACAAGAGGTAACCCCTCCACCTTTTCTCGTTCTCTTATTGTATCTCAAATATATTTTTCTGAAAAAACTTTCCACGTCTTTAAAGCAAGTCGCCCAGATCGGCCTGGAGTACTTCACCCGGCTGGTGAAGTCCAGGGACGAGGAGAAGGCCCGGATGGAGGCCATGATGGTGACCTTCGAGAAGTATGCCCAGGCCGCACATGCCAAGGCGGAGAAGGCTGAGGAAAAGCTCGTGCAGCATTGCGCGGTCTACCGCTAGCTCTACGCCAAGCATGAAGGTCTTCTCAAGGCTGCAAAAGAGGCCGACACGTAGGCCTAGGAGAAGGTCGAAAAGCTTGAAGCCGAGAATGCCTCGTCTGCTGAAGAGATCGCCCGGCTTGGGAATGAACTAGAGAAAGAGCGGGCTGAACGGGCTTCTCTTGCAGCGGGCTGAACGGGCTTCTCTTGCAGCGGCCTGAGCGATTCAGGAACTAGAGGAGTTTGCTAGCCGGACCATCGCTGATCGAGATGTTGCCATCCGGCTGATCCAAGGGCTCTATAAGCACAAGCCATCAGCCAAGGTCGTTGATGAAATCGCGACCTTTGGTTTCGAAAGTGGCCAGTATGACGAGCGACGGGCGCTGTATGACATCCTTGAGCAGCGGATCCAAGGCTTCACGCCTAGGGGTGGACACGGTACGGTTCTGGGACGGTTCCGGTTCCGGAACCGCCGGTTCCGGTACCGCCCCCCCTTGGTACCGGTTCCGATTCCGGTACCGCCGGTTCCGGTACCGTTTCGGCCACCCCTAATTTTGTTTTTNAAAAAAACGGTAACGGTACCGGAACCGGAACCGCCGGTGCTGGTACCGAAAAATGGGCACCGAAACCGGTACCGGATTGGGCGGTACCGGTTCCCGGAACCGGTGGACCGTACCGGCCGACGGTAACGGTACCGGAACCGGCGGTACCGTTTTCGGTACCGGTACTGTACCGGTACCGTGTCCACCCCTATTCACGCCCAAGGCCTTCCCAGGGATCCGATCTTCAAGGCCTTCTTCTCTTTATTTTTTATTTTTTAGATGTAGTGATCTACTTCCGGGAACTTTTTGTAAAACATTAATATGGTAATAAAATTTTTTGTTTCCATATCATGTGTTGAGTTCTTGAGTATCTCTTTCTTGCTTTACGTTTGACATAAATTCTTTCCAACTCAAAATTTTCGACCGCGTAAATTAGCAAGTAGCAGACCGGCTGCAATTACTCAGTCTACTATACAGTTTTAACCAAGTCCTTTCGAAAGACTGACTGGGCGGCTGGGGAGAGAATAGATCCGACTAATCTTTTCCCGGTCGGTTCGTAGACCCGCGATGGCAATTTGACGTGTCCCTTTTCGAAAGGATAGTCTTTTGCCCGGGTGCTCGTAAAGCTAACTTGTCTTTCACAACGACTTATTGCCCTTGTTGAAAGGTAAGCCTTGCATTTTTCTTTAATCATTTAACATAACCAGCCGAGATGCTCTCCCCTTTAGTTACGTCATTTGACCTCCGTGTTAGTACGGATGAAATGTATGATCGGTTCAACCGGTCTCTTTTTTTTTGAGATGTCCAATTCGATTGGACATCAAGCCGGGCAGGTTAGTGTGTGACCAATCACTGGTTGGTGCTTAGGAACAATCTCTCTCGAAAGAACAAAATTTTATTCATAACCGGGAACTCATTACACTTTATCTAAAAAAATTAAGCAAGTGGTGAGAGTTCCAATGTCGGTCAACTTGCCCCTCTTCCATGGTATCCAGTTGATAAGTGCCCGGTCTGATGATCGCCCTTATGCGATAGGGTCCTTCCCAATTGCACATCAGCTTGCCTCTTTCATTGGGCTTACTAACATCTCTTCTGCGTAGTACTTCATCATTCACTTGGAAGTAACGCGGACCCACCCGATTGTCAAGATATCTCTTTACTGACTGCTAGTAACCAGCCATCTTGACAGCTGCCATGGTCCTTCGTTCTTCCACAAGATTTAATTCAGCTAGGTGACCGGCTTCGTTCTGACCGGGCTGATACACGGTCTCTCTAAACGTTGGGAATTCTGCCTCAATTGGCAATCGGGCTTCACATCCCTAAGTGAGCACGAAAGGAGTCTCCCCAGTTGCTCTTCTCAAAGTCACCCTGTGCGCCCAGATCGTGTCAG